AACTATAAGTAATATATACAATATGAGCGGGCGATCTGTATGTAATATACAACTCTCTTCATGGGCTATGATTTCTATTGTGTTTTGCCTTATGAATATTAATGAGTTTTATAATATAGATTTATACTATGATTTAAGCCCGATTTTTAACCTGTATTCGAGCTTTTTCTTGTCCTTTGTTTCTTCAGGTAGACTCTTGATCATCTCATCAACTTCGCGGATTATACCCTCTGCTTCGCTAGGGTCTTTTGGTAGCTCGTCTATTTCTTTCTTTATTAACTGGGGCTCCGTTAAATCGACTTCTTCAGCCTTTGGGGTTGACTTTTGCTTGGACATTTTGTTGAGTTAAAATGGTGTAGATTTTGAGCTAGAACGTTAATATTTAAAAGAAACATGAGATAGTTTCACTTCGGTAATAAAAGGGGATATCTTGGCTTGAAAATGACATCGGGGAATACCCCGTCGGAAGTGTTAAAGGGACACTGTCAATGGATGACATGCGCGAGTGAACTTGAAAACACTAGGCTAGTGTTTTCAAGTTTATGACTCCAAGTTGGCGCGACATAAATCAGATCGTAAACGTAAACAGATCTAGAATATTCCAAAGTGTGTCAAAAGCACCACAAAATGATTTACCTCGAAGGTTATACTTTCAAAGTCCGTTAGAGGTGAGACTGTTACTGCGCATGTCATCCATTGACAGTGTCCCTTTAANATTATACCCTCTGCTTCGCTAGGGTCTTTTGGTAGCTCGTCTATTTCTTTCTTTATTAACTGGGGCTCCGTTAAATCGACTTCTTCAGCCTTTGGGGTTGACTTTTGCTTGGACATTTTGTTGAGTTAAAATGGTGTAGATTTTGAGCTAGAACGTTAATATTTAAAAGAAACATGAGATAGTTTCACTTCGGTAATAAAAGGGGATATCTTGGCTTGAAAATGACATCGGGGAATACCCCGTCGGAAGTGTTAAAGGGACACTGTCAATGGATGACATGCGCGAGTGAACTTGAAAACACTAGGCTAGTGTTTTCAAGTTTATGACTCCAAGTTGGCGCGACATAAATCAGATCGTAAACGTAAACAGATCTAGAATATTCCAAAGTGTGTCAAAAGCACCACAAAATGATTTACCTCGAAGGTTATACTTTCAAAGTCCGTTAGAGGTGACATTACTGCGCATGTCATCCATTGACAGTGTACCTTTTAGGCATATATTTTATTACAGAATTAAATGAATTAACTGAACATATAAGAATTAAAAGAAGTCACTGTAAGTACTGAGAAATAATTTGAATTTGTTGATTAACATAGAAGCAATATTATATGTAAATGAAATTGAATTGAATTTCGTTAATTGATTAATCATGCCATTATGGAATAGGGATTATTACATTTTCTGTAATAGAGTTAAATCCCACTAAACGCGTGAAACTACAAGATTAGTGCGTACAAACGTAAGGATGCATCAGAGCAATATCTATTTCACAGTTTTTTTTACTTCATCCCTAAAAGGGATTGTTGTATTCACGATCCTTCAATAACTATCTTCTACAGCTAATATTATTTTAATGTATTTATTTCAAGTCAAATAATGTAATCATTCTTTTGTCTATTTATGGTGCTTGAGTCAGGCTCGTGACAACTTKCGTGACCTTCCGGCTTATCATAAATATCGTTCGGGGAATTCCTAACTTCACTGCAGATATTCCGCAAGAGGAACATTGATATTTGCTGATTTCAATAGCTATCAATTCGAGCTAATATTTTYCCTTTCATTTTAATCCTATAATGTAATTCTATTTTCTCTTTATAGTGCTTTAAGTCAAAGTA